TGGGAATCACCATACATCCCACGATACGATATTATCACAATACTTAAAAATATTTTGCAATATTCAGATTCTGTACATAAAGGTAAACTTTTTCAATATTCATTTATCTAATATCAAAGTCTCGCACTCAGTCTTTCTCTCATTTTAGTTTTATTGTTGACAAACTGAACGGTTTGTATTACAGTCTAGTCCAACTTAACTGAATGTAACCATCTGGTACAATTATAGCTATTCTGAACTATGCAATATGAAAACTATGCAGCCCCTTCAGCAACTGAAGAATTTGAAAGTAAATTAAAACAAAATATAATTTTACATTAAATAAAAAAGTTTTAAACGTAATTAAAATAAAACATGTCTTAAATTAAAATAAGTAAACTGTCATGTTTATTGCTGCCAAAAAACAGTTAAACACATTTGGACAGTGAAGGAATGTCAGGATTCTTGCTCAGAAAAAGGATCAACATGCTCTGAAGTCAGAGCACAAAAACCTTTTTTGTTACAAAATATCGATTTCTGCTGTCCCTGCATCGATACATTATTAGCAAACAAAATATCACGATACTACACAGTATCGATTTTTTCCCCCACCCCTAGAATATACTGTGATTGTTCTGTTTATTTACCCTCTGAAGATTCCAGTGTATTTCTTACTGTTCTTATTGTTATGGTTTTTTTCCTGAGGTGTTTCATGTTTTTAACAGTTTACAAACCCCCTCCCCTAATATTATCATACTCGGCTGGAAATGTCCACACTGGACTGTTAGTACTCTACGTAATAGTTAGATATATTAGAAATGTATGTCTATTATTAACTACCATTCCACTTGTAAAACTGTGTTTTTCGTTGGGTTGACTGATTTATTTTTGTTGAGGACAAAGAATTTTAAACTGGCTCCAAGTCTCATTCTGTTAGGCATTTGTTGTGTCAGCCAGTCCGTAGCATTTGATATCAATAATCTTACTGCATTTATAACCGCCATGCAATTCCTTTCATTTCTCTGGCTTACCGGACTGCTAACTATTGCAGAGACCCTGACCCAGCCTGACCAGATGGAAGCTAAATTTGACAGTGAGCTCATACCTGCAGACAATATTTAGTCTGGCTAGCCTACTGTCTGCAGTATGCAGTTATATGCATACTGTGTGTTTGTAATGGTGTGTGTTAGTTTTAAGGCAGTGTTTACCAGGCAGATGACTGCCTTTCTCTCTCACACACACATAACTGCGCACACCCGCCCCTCATTTCTGATTCAGGGATCCTTTAAAGTCGCAGCTTTTGATGTGGTAACCTGACCCAGTGGGCTGGGTAGCTTATGACCTATGTGTCTCAGCATGGACCCTGTCATCAGGGTCCGTGCTACTCTGCAAGACCAGTAATGTGCATGATTTATTAGTTTCAGATGTAGCCATTCTTGTATTTGCTGGTTTGTGTTGTTGTGTTTGCACATTTCTGTTGCTTGTGGGCTCGCACACAAGAATTTCACTCGCATGTGCTGTGCCAGTGTGCCTGCACATGCGATGTGACAATAAAAGTGATTTGATTTGATGTGGGTCAAAGTGTCCTGCACTGCATCATGACAGCTGATGAGGATTGACTATATTTGTTATGTTGTCAGTGGGTGGGATTTGTGGACCTCGGGTAATGTCAGACATACACAAAATCTTACCTCTGCAATCAAACACAAGTAGTATGTGAGAGTGAATTGTGCAAAAGCAAAAAAGCTTGACAATAGCAAAAAAAGTGGCATAGGTTAGTAATGACCCCACTGTTAGCTTTCGGTAAAAATAAATAATCTGCTGCACTGCCCGTGTTTTTTTTGTTGTAAGGTATGGCATAGAAGATGGCACCTGGGACTGTGAAGTCTAGCATTGCATTGTGCAGTGAACTTTACAATATGACACAGATGGTAAAAACAATTTGTGGTTGTACCTGGCTTTGTGGAAACATGCTTTCGACATAATTTGCAGTGTATGCTTTTCTAACCACATTATTAGTTTGCACAGTGTTATTCTCATGGCTTTTCATGTTGCCTGTCAAAACATTGATGCACTGAGTTCTCTTGCCTTTATATTGACCATGTCTCATATTTATATTGAAGAAAAGTTATTTTGTGATTATTATCAGTTTTATTGGCTGCCCTAGCAGATAGCCAAAGTGAGATGTCAGCATCAGGCCCTCCACCACATTGACTGAACTGGGGCACAGGAAGGAAAGAGCAGTGCTGCTGCTGATAATGTAGTTGTTCAGTCTACAGTGTCCAACCCTTAATATATCATAATGTAATCGTGGTGTATACATTTTTGATAAAATGGTCAAAAACAAATAAGGCTCAATCTTTACAAAACCTGTTGTTGCCCTGTTGCTCATAGGAAGTTTATTTGATTGTTAGGGCTTTTTCCAGAATACTATAGGGCAGGGGTGTCCACCTCCAGGCCTCAAGGGCCGGTGTCCTGCAGGTTTTAGATGCGTCCTTGATCCAACACAGCTGATTTAAATGGCTAAATCACCTCCTCAACATGTCTTGAAGTTCTCCAGAGGCCTGGTAATGAACTAATCATGTGATTCAGGTGTGTTCACCCAGGGTGATATCTAAAACTTGCAGGACACCAGCCCTTGAGACCTTGCAGTATAAAGTGGCTTGAGGTGTCTGTTGTGATTTGGCAATATATAAGTAAACCTGAATTTATGTGAATTTAATATAGACCCACACACTATATAGTGATATTGCCCATTGTTTAGAGATGCCCCATTTAAAAAGCCAGGGGTTAATTGTTTAACAATTTATTTTGAGGCTAGATGTTACAAATGAGGAGTGGTTTTGACTATGAAACCACACATTTATTGAGCCTGTGATGCCCTGGATATCCTTTCAAAATGTTTGGATGGCAGTAATTTACAAAATAGACTTAATGTTGTACTCACAATGCCCTGAAACTAGTGAGTTTTCCTCATAAACTCTTTAGGAAAGTTTTTTTTATTCAGGTCACAGGGTAAGGGAGCTTGAGGCTGTTTCCCCATAGATTGCTATTTAACTTGTAGATTGCTAACTAGTCTTTTTGCAACCACAGGTGTTGCCATTAAAACAGATTCAGGTTGAAGGAGATAACTTTTCTTTTGTTTACTGATTTAAGAGACCTTAAATTGGTTGTAATATCAGAGTGCTCTGTCCAATCATATAGGTGTGACTTTCATCCTTGCTAGCTAGGAGAATGAAGACACAACTTTCCCTTGTCATGTCTATACCAGGATATACAGTTGGATAAAAATGAATGATAAATGCTGCTAGTGAATGTTTTGACATCATGTCCCAAGATGTTTTATCAAAATCAAAAGGAATATCGGTGTCATAATGCACATCGGTGTGAAAAGAAAAATAACAAGAAGAAAGATTCTGATAAATATGCAGCAGTCTGAAAGGTGTAGTCATGTTTATCATCATTCAGAGCAAGGAAAAGCACAGAGCAGGTTAAAGGCAACTGAAGAAGCCTCACTACTCACTTATCAATTCAGTAGCATTAATTTGATGTTTTACTACTTGATATCCTGTGACCTAGAAAAATGAGAAACCACTTTGTTGTCAGTGTAAGATTGTCTGAACTTGAGAAGGCGAAAATGGAACCCTCGTAATTGCGTATCCTGGCTCTTGCTGTTTCTTTTTTTTTTTTTTTTCTTGCTGTATTTTCTCTGCTACTGTCCTTCCATATCTCTCTCTGTACACTGAAATCCTTTTATTTATTTTTAATATCATTGTTTTCTCTTCCTGTTTCACTGGTACTCCCTCAGCACAAATGGCACTAGTTCAGAATGACGTTATCATCTCCTTGGCAACCCCTTGGGCTGGTGTGTGTGTGCGTGCGTGCGCGTGCGTGCGCGTGCGTGCACACGTGTAAGAAACTGGGAGGAGTGTTGATAGAGCAGAGATCATAAGCGAGGGATGGGCAGAGGAGGAGGGGATAGGTAAAGCCGGTTTATTCATAAGCACCCCACTACTGGCTCTGATTCACAATTTCTCCTGCAGCCCCTCCCTTACATTAAGCTTGCACAGTTTGCTCAGCCAGGAGATTTGAGACTGACGTTCGAAATGAATGAATATATTTGCTTTCGAATCAAAAATCTTTCACTCTCTTTGTGCAAAACTGCCCTGCACAGTGCGGTCAAGCAGGAGCATGATATTATTCTTATATGATCAAGTCGGCCACATGTCGGCGTAGCTGAAGTTTTGTGTAAGCAGAATATGGCTGGGACCTGTGGGTGCCCTGGTCAGTGATGTAGTGTAATGCTGCTGATGACGACTTTGCTGTTACATTGCCTGGGTCTTTCCCACACTGGGAATCCCTGCCTCATTTTGAACACTGTATCTATTCTGTTCTACAGCATAGCACAGTGGTACAGGCATGGATGTACATGAATCTTCAACAGTGCACGCAGTGCATTTAATACAACAAGCGTACTTATTTTATTTATACAATTATATTAACAAAGCTGCACAACGTGCTGTTTTTACTCCTGTGTGATGGAGGAATATAGGACTATATGACCATTTATTTGCTAGTGAGGCTGTGTTGCTGTTCTTGCATGACACCAGAATTTTAAAAAAGTACTGTTGGCACTGTTCAGGACCTTTTTTTTTTAAACAGGCAGAAATTTTCAGTGTGCTAGACTCTGCCAGATGGTGTGTGTCTGCTACCTTTCTGCTGGGATGAATTGCAGAGGAGGAACACATTTTTAGCACTTTCTCAGAAAGCACATCGTGAAACATGGGGCCCACACTGTAGAAACTAATTATAAGCAGTGACAAAGTCAACAATTTAGCAGTTTAAGGAAGATTAATCCTGCTTTAGCTGCTACTTTTTAAAACCTGCCTGCTGCTAGGTTTTGAGCTTTCAGCTGCTTTGTCCCCCTCCCTCTTAGAAATAGCAACAGCAGCAGCGATGAGTCACTCAGTGTGTGAAACATGACGTCATCCGTGTCTTCCTCTTCTGCTCTTGGTATACAGGACTCCTGACTGTAGGACAGACCATGCTGCTGCACTAAGCTGAAGAGCGAGAAAAGGAGAGAGAGGCCACTGAGGACCCCTGAGGTGGTGGCTGGTCGTTTGGTGCCCCTCCCACTTGTCTGGCTGGCTGGCTGCTGCCTCTTCAATTCATCTGATTGCTGTAGATATCTTTTTTTTTTTTCTTCCCCATGTGCATGTTGTTTTTCTAAGGTTATCCTAAAGGTGTGTCATTGAGAGCAGGTTTTGCACCCATGTTGGGAAATGTAGACCTTAAAATTAGTTACTAAAATTAGTTACTTCTGCATTTCTAGTTTTTTTTTCATTTACAAACTGTGATTTATTTTTGTCTGATTTTTTTTTTTTTTTTTTTTTTTTTTTAAAAACAAGAACCAAATAACCAAAAATAGCCTCCCTAATTTAAACCTAAAAAGTTTTTAGATGCTACTTTTTAAAGTTGCTGCTGTTAGGTTGAGCTTTCAGCTGCTGTGTTCCCCCACTCAACTCCACTTGAGTGTCACAAGGCGCAGTAAAATGTTACATTTATATATATATATGTATGTATATGTGTATTATGTATCATAATTTGGGGATTTTTCTCTCTCTTGTCCTTATAGCCCTTCCCCAGAGGCTAAGACTTGCTATGGACTGCACTTCGCCCCCTGCTGCAGCCCAGTCGAGTACACTACGTTAGTGGGTCCCCACATCTTTCCGTGTGGTTCCTGTCCAGACTCAGTGAACAGAGTCCAGCTCCGATCTGGTACCACCTACAGGTAAATGGTGTTAAAGTACATTCTCTCTGTCTTTTTTGGCTTTCCTTGCACAGTTTTTGCCAAGTGGGTAGCCATTCTGTGCAGCGAGTGCAGAACTTCCCCTTCTTATATCTATCTTCTTTTTTTTTCTTTTTTTTTTTTTCTCAGCCACTGCTGGGTCCTCCACCCAACCCCCTCCCCACTCCCACCCTCCCCCCTTTCCCCTAAAAAGATGTCAGTGAGCCTGACAACGGACATCCAGCAGGAGGGAGAGAGTGGGCCACTTATTGAGCCCTGCAGTCGAGGCAAGACCTCCCCTCAACCACAGGGCACCAAAGAAGGAACTGGAGAGAGCCTGGAGCCGGATGATAGCTCTCCACAGGATGCACAGGTAGGAGAAGTTGATCATACTGGTGATAGTAAGTTTGCATTTAGATGTTTAAAAAAAAGAAAAGAAAGGAAGTTGTATTCCACATAGTTCTAACGCATTTCCTCTCTTGAGAAGGACCATTGTTGAATTTCAGGGCTGGTAACAATACCCAGTAATCAGCTGTTTGTTTTGTTTTGTGACTAGTAAGCTAACCAATTATTGTTGGTGTTACGGATGAGGTGGATTCAAGTCAGGAAATTCATATTATTATTATTATTATTATTATTATTTTTTTTTCCAAATGAAGCTACCTTTACCTTCTACTTTATTGGCAAATATCTTATTGTGCTTGACAAAATTGTTGTCTTTTGAGTAACACATTACCAAAAATTTTATTCCTTATTTTGCTGCAGGTTTTTTAATCAACGAACAATAGCGTTATTATCCCACATGTTGTGTAGAAGCTTTGAGTTAGCCAGTAATGTTTAAACCTCATTATGGTTTATACTGATGAATGCAGAACAATTTCTTACACACATGTTCAATTACTCATCAACTTCATGTACCCTATTTAGTTTGTGTCTAATATACTGTAATTTAATTAATAAAATGATTCAATAAACTATTCTTTTAGAAGCGGGCTCCTAACCACAGCCATGGAAGGAAAAGGGCCAAGGTAAGTGTCTGTGGTTAGATTTTTTTTTTCTTTTTAAATAAATTTATTCAAGTTTATTCTTAATTCCTTGAAATAATCCCCGTGCTATTTTGTTTGTTTGTATAAGGCGACCTTCCATTATTAACACTGTAATCCTCTCAACTACAGAGGAGCACCTCCTTTATTGGCTTAAAATCTTAAGTCCAACTTTAAAAGTAGCTGTGTTAGACTGACCTCTGTAATGATAAGAGAAAAACAGATACAACCAGTTACATTTTACAACTAGATGTTGGTTTGCAGAGTAAAGGGAAAAAGAAAATCAGGTCAGCTGTTTCGTGAGTATGGCGACCAAATTGTACGTACAGTAGCATAGTAAAGTAACATTTTCATTCAGTTATGTTAGTAATGAGTTATGGATACTGTAGCTCTCTTAAACTGGCTTTACCTTACTTATATGTATGTGTAATTGATTTTGGACATTCGGACATTGACAAATATGACATACCAGTGTTTAGTCATTCTTGATTATGAGAGTTCAAGCCAGTTATTGCGTTTTTGGAATGGTATTTTAGTATGACATACCTTGCTTAACCAGTTCCCAATGCTTTCATTAGATAATGGCTCTCATCATGTCACTTAAAGGTTTAATTTTCTCTGGGGTTTTAACCAACAAATGAAGTGTTGTCATTACATATGCTGTATTGAAGATTTGTGTTAGCCCTGTGCCATCTTGGGTCTTTCTTCATTAGCTAATATCATTGTCCTGAAGGCTCGAGAGACATTTATGCTGTTGTTTATGCGATAGAAAGCCTAACATCAGAATTTTGGCATGGTACACAACGATGTTAATGAAATTCAGAGTTTCCTTGTATCAAAATGCTAGGTGCTTGTATTTTACACATGGATAGATGTAATAGTATGTTGTTGTAGTAAATTATAGTTGGGAAGTCTGAGCATAAAATCTAAAATCTAGCTTAGAGGAAATCTCACTATTTCTGTGTTTAGAATATAAAATTGTAACACATTAGCCTTACAGATAATTTGTGTGGTAATCTTTCAGTCTAATGCTAAACTGAAGCTGGTACGAAGTCTTGCAGTGTGTGAAGAGTCCTCCGGTCCGTTTTCCAATGATGGACCACCAGAATCGGTAACGTGTTTTTTTTTTGTTTGTTTGTTTGTTTTTTTTTTTTTTTTTTTTTGTTTGCAAGTCTGTTTTGACGGGTTTACAATGCTTAATAGGCAAAATTAGTAAATGCACAACCTGCAATTTGTGTAATAATGAAAAGCGGTTTTCTAGGATATTATCCAGCTTCACATCAGCTGTCCATCTGACAAAGAGGAGGAGAAGTCCTCGAAGGACGAGTATGAAAATGAAGAGGAGAAGAAGGACAAGACTCCCCGAAAGATGCTGTCACGTGGTAAGATGCAAACTCTCACTTCATAAAAGTATCTTTTCCTATCAACATCTTCCCTTAACTCTGTCTGATGCCCCCCCCCCCCCCTTTTTTTTTTGTTTGTTTTTTTAATAGACTCCAGTCAGGAATATACTGACTCCACAGGCATCGACGTTCACGAGTTTCTGGTCAACACACTGAAAAACAATCCCAGGTACTGGTCTGACGGATAAACATGTTGGTAATAACACGAGCACAATAATAAATTACTTATTAAGTAAGATAAGTGCTATTGATTTATACCAATCAATTTATAAAATTGATTTTTCCCCATTTTTTAACAGGCTCAAATAGTGCAGTTCTTTGTCCAAACTATGAAAATATGAAATAATATCAAACTTGATAGCAATGATTTTATTTAAATTGCATTTTTTTTATTGTAAAATCAAATATCATTTGTTTTTGACTAGTTGTTAAAAAAAATCTGCACTCTCTAAATATCTTCATTTTCATCCCGTGTGTGTGTGTGTGTGTTGATGTGTGTGGCTGTGTGTGTGTGTGTGGGTGTGTGCGGCTGTAATGACATGTTCAGTAGTATACTTGCTCCACTATTCTTCGTCTTGCTCACCTCTCTGATCTGTCCCTCACTCGCTTTCCCTCTATGGCTCACCAGGGATCGAATGATGCTGCTTAAACTGGAACAAGATATCCTGGAGTTCATTAATGACGACAAGTAAGCCACGTTCTTCATATCACTCACATGTTTTTAAATTTAGCCCTCCCACCTTCAGTTCTTATTATTTATAGTGTGTTGAGGAAATGAGAGAATTATGTTAAGTTGTAGTTGTGTATTCTGTAATTAAGAATACTATTTGTGTATCCTAACAGTTTGAAAATCTATCTTTATCCTTTATAAAAATGACATAATTATTTAGCTTGTTTTTCAAATGTCCTAAATAATCATAGAATTAAAACCCAGCTGTGGGTAATTTGCTCTGTTGAAATAACCTGCTTCATGCATTTTTATCTCTGTTTCAGTAACCAGTATAAGAAGTTTCCACAAATGACTTCTTATCATCGTATGCTGCTGCACCGTGTGGCTGCCTACTTTGGCATGGACCATAATGTGGATCAGACGGGAAAGGCTGTCATCATCAACAAGACGGGCAACACACGCATGTGAGTGTAGTTTGTCTTTGGCTCAGATTTCAACTAGTCTGGTTAGTTAGAACGTCAAATTAATGCTCAAAGTTCAATCCTGTTCCAAGACAAAACACAAGAGGCAATGTATGTGATATCAGCAAGAGTACACAAAAACTTTATTTTAGATTTAGTTACTGTTCATTAAATAAGTTCAAATTAGGACATTGGCTGTGGTGGAAAAAACCCTCATCACACAAGTTTGACTCCCGCATGTTCTATTCCCCCCCCCCCCCCCCCCCCCCCCCCCCCCCAAAAAAAAAGAGAAAAAAAAATCTAATAGATTTTTATCAGTTTTATTTAACTCTGTACCATTGTTTCAACTAAGAAAGAAGTAAATTTTTAATATAAATAATACTTGTATTGAGGTATCGATTGTGCCAGCAGCAGTTTCACCTTAGATCAGCGGTCCCCAACCTTTTTGGCGCCATGGACCGGTTTATGCCCGACAATATTTTCACAGACCGGCCTTTAAGGTGTCGTGGATAAATACAACAAAATAAAACTAGTACCGTTACCGAAAAAAAAGATTTATTCATAACACACGTGAAAAGACCCAGGAAAACAGGGTTAACGATAAAAACAATAACAAAATAACGCTGAAAACCGATTAAAAACCCTGAAAACCATACATTTTACACCTGAGCCTCAACTCTCGCGGCCTGGTACCAAGCGACTCACGGACCGGTACCGGTCCGAGGCCCGGGGGTTGGGGACTGCTGCCTTAGATGTTAAAGTGGACAAAAATACTATGTGAGGATTTGTTAAAGCACATGTTGACAAATCGTTAGATCTAGAAATGAAAGAACAAAACATTTGACTCCCTTTGGAGGTACCAGCATTGCAAAATTTACTGTTTTTTCCCTATAGTTCACAAAATTTCACCACTTCAGTTTTATCTAGGTTTATTTACTATATCAGTTTTCAGAAATCCACTCAACTTTTCTAGGCATGATTGGATGGAAGTGCATTTAAGAACATCATGTCTGACACTGTCAGATTGGGCATTAAGCTTTCTTTAACTGTCAAATCCCCCATGTGGAGTTTGATTTGCACGGATGTGACAGCATTGCAGGCAATAGTCTTGTGAGTTCACAGCTAGTGTCCTGTCTCATGCACGATTTACTTAAGCAGAATATTTCCAGTATTAAGAACCCAGCTGACGCAAATTAACTCCTGCTGTGACACATGTGGGGCAGTGCTTTAGAGCTTTGGACAACAGTTTCTTTCCCAGATTCTCCCAAAATTCTTGTCTTGAATTCATGTGTGAAACGAGCTCATGTTTAAAAGTATGCTTTTTGTCCTCCACAACGTTTGTTTTTTTGGTTGTATAGCCCAGAACAAAGGTTCTCTGAACACATCAAGGATGAACGCAACATGGACTTCCAGAAGAAGTTCATCCTTAAGAGAGATGATGCTAGCATGGACAAAGATGATAATCAGGTACATCGATTGTTATCACAAGTACCGTGTAATTTTTTGTGTGTATACAGTGGTTCATTTGTTTGTTTGTTTTTGTCACTTTCCACGCATGCTAGTGTTTTTAGCTCCACCAATGAGTTGGATTCCTCGCTGAGTAACAAAAGCTTCTGTAGGCTTGTCTCAAATAGTTTTTCTTAATAACTTTAAAAGAAACACTGTATGTAAAGCTAGTTCTCAATCTTGCTGCCACATGTTACAGCTTTTGGAGATGGCCCCACAAAAATAAAGGGACATAGCTGGATTTAATGGCATGTGGTGTTTGACATGTTTTCATTCAGTCAGACAACAGATTGCCGAGGCATCTGGATGTGTGAACAACAAGCATTGCAGCAATTTCTTGGCTCAGTCCTGTAGTCATCTTACATAACCTTACTGAGGAGGCTAATTAGCTGTGTCAGTAACAGTTATGATAGAATGCAGGGTTTGGCCACAGAATAGCCATTGGCTTACAGTATACTGTTAAAGTAGCACAGTTATCAGTTAGGAGTGAAACTGCATTTGTTATCAAATATGAAAATTGATACATTTTTAATCTGCAGAATCTGGAAACATACCACATATATTGCATTCCTAGGCTATGTACAAATAATTGCATTTTTCTGTCTGATCCTGATGCAACCATTGCATTTTAGCTTTTTGCTTGGTTTCACATCCTATGGTTTCCATATACAGAATCTTTTCTTATTGCTAAATTGTGGTGATAAATTTAGGATGATGACTGGGAACTGCTTGACTGCACCATTTCCTTTCTAACCTAGCATCACCAATATCATTTCTGTATTAGTTATCGTCCTCCTACTTTCATACAGTTCATAGTCTTTAAGACATTTCAAAATCTTCTTGATGGCTAAGCCTAACATTATGACCACTAGTACAGATGAATGTTAATTACCTTATTCCAACAGCAAAGGTCAGAGAAAGACAGCAGCAGAAGGTTTTTCTGAGTGTATCCAAACTCCCCATCAGCAGTTATGAGTGTCTTTTTAGAGCTTTCCAGTAATCAAATTAGGGAATGTATTAGAGGAAATCCAAACTGTTTTGGCTTTGGCTTAGAATTTACAGGAATTAAATGATCATCGATGCTCGAGTCTGTGTACAAGATCCCCTGAGGACCTGTGTGTTGCACCCAAAAGAGTAACGAAGTTCCCTGCAGTGGTGGTCATAATGTGACAGCTTTGGGGACCCCACAATTGTGAAACATGTAGCACAGAAATTCAGTGCAAAACTTGAATTTATCTGCTGTATTGTTAAATTTGATCTATGTTGAAGAGCTATAAAATTATACACTTTTATAAAAACATTTTCAGTTTATTTCAAAAGGAACTTGATCTTTGCATGCTTCGATATTTGAGTAGCTCTTGAGATTTTAAATTAAACCTTAAATTGGACATTTTCAAATACAGAGACAATTCTCCACTTTGGAATTAGGAGATTCTCTGTCTAAAAATTGATTTTGTTTATTTTGTTTTCTGGACCAAGTTTATCACACCATTTTATTCATTTCAGCAGTGTTTGTTTGGGGCTATGACACTTTTTCCTAATGCTTGCACAGATTTGTCATGCTGTCTTCTATGATTCTATGTTCTCTCACGTTTGTGGTGTTAAAAATTCCCACGCTGACTCATCCCTTGAACACTCACTTCACACAGTTTTCATTCTGCTGTCTTGTTTTGACAACAGACATCTGCTCTTCCTCACATGCTATTGTTATCTTGTGCATTGCTGCTACTTTTCTTGACAGCAGGTTGCACAAAGTGTGACTATAGGTGTTTGAAAATTAAATTGCATGCTTAATTATTTTACATTGTCATTCTCTCCCCAAATGTTAGATCCGCGTGCCGCTGCAGGACGGGCGGCGTAGCAAGTCCATTGAAGAGCGAGAGGAAGAATATCAGCGGGTACGAGACCGGATCTTTGCCCGAGAAGTAAGTATTGAACATGGATGGAGGAGCAAGTGCTTGCAGTGCATATTTCCTCATATGTCAACAGCACCAGTGTTTACTCAGTCAGGTTTACTCAGAAATTAATTTCTTTGTGATAAACTTCCACAATATCAACAATTACCTTCACTTAGTAATTTACTTTATGTGTTAAACTGACTTTTAATGAACTGTTCTTTTTCTTGGGTTGAATAATTGACAGTTGTATTTTGACCAGATGCTTGTGGTAGACATAAACAAGCTTTGGACATAATTTAATGGGATTTCTGACTGTTTGTCTTGGCAGAATTAGTAAAGTTCAGTACAGTTTGTTGTTTTTCAGGAAGAACCTACATTTTAAGCACATTTACACATAATGATCTTAAAGAGTTAAGATCAGAAAGACTTTATGTTAGCTGGATTTATCCCTCCTATTAGCTGCTTTGATTTGTGTTCAATGTGAGATGTCTGAGGTATTCGTCCTCCTCTATCATTAGTGTTTAGTGTTTTTTGAGTTGTTTGGAGCCATATAGTCTGTTCTCCACTTAGCTAAAGGTAACACCTTGGGCTTACTGATCTTAAGCACTTCCCAACTTTTTGGGATATTATTAGAAAGTAAGTGATCAGAATCATGTGATAATCCTGGAATCTGCAGTTCGTAACAAATGCGTTAGAAAGAAAAAAAAAAATCCTTTTTATCCCCCCCCCCCATTAAGAGAGTTATGTAGTAGGGTCATTCAACCTCAGAGGAACAGGTCAAAGAAACCAGTGAAGTCATTTTGGATATGAATGCCATAGCATTACAGATCCTTCAGAGTTTCGTCGTGCTGCCTTTCCAGTGAGTCCCTCATCTCAGACGCGCTCACTCAAATGGCACCGGGTTGGACTGCTGGCAAGAGTAGTCCTTGTTGAAAGTGTAGACTGTTGAGAAATGGGTCCTGTGGTAAACTCACCAATGCTGCGCATCAGAACAAAGATGTCATGAAATCTGCCTGTAATAGATTGAAACTGTAACTGGATGTAGTCCAAAACACTGAAGTTAAAGCTCGACTGCTGGATGAGAGAAACACTGAAAAGGCAGTTTTGTGTTTTGATTCTTATTATTTGTCACACTGAATTTGCAGTCTCTTGTGAGGTTCTTGATCCCACACTGGGAATCTATGCTTTATTTTATGCCAAATACTCATAAATCCAAGCCTGTAAACCTTTTTGAAATGGAAAACACTGCTTGTCTTAAGTGCTCTTGAAAGAATTATACATTTCATAATGTGCAGGTGTCCTTTTTTTTACAGTCTTCTCAAAATGGATACATCAATGACAACAGGTAAGATCCTACGTTCTTCTGAAGACTTCAATGTTTGTAGTTCATAGACTTCATCATGGCCATCTCTCCTATTAACACTGTATTGTGTTAGGTTTTAGTTATGAGAGGTAGGCAGCTACCTCATTAAAATATTAAGAAGTATCTGTATGAGTTGAATTTTTGACTTCTTGCAAGTTTGCCTTGTGTAAAATTTGATTGTAGAGAAGAAATCAAATTTCGCTTTTTTTTTTTTAAATCTTTTTTTCTTTCAAATGATTAATTTTCTAATTTCCCTGATGTTTTGTGTTAAAATTACTTTGAGTGACACTGTGTTTGAGAGAGATTTGTGCATAGTGGAATGCCACTTTTTTCCTTCTCTCTTATTTTAATAAGAAAATAATTTGACTCACAAGCAGTTAGACTAAGACGACCCCTAAGCATCTTGTCCGTTGAACTTGAAAGAGTATGATATAATATGCTGAGAGAAATGGGAATGATTGACCAGTCAACTTTTTGCCTTGTGTGCATTTTGTTTTTCTCCCTTATTTCTTTGGGTGGTGAAAGTTGCAATGAACCTTCCTCTACCTCTTACACCACTCGTTGTCATTCTTCTATAAACCCTATCCTGTTTTCCACTCCAGTCCTGTAACTCTAGCGTTTTCTCCTAATGTTAACCCCAACAGACTTTCCACTGAGGGCTACTGCTCTAGCTCTCAAAAGAGGAGGCAGATCTTTAGGTATTGGGCTGCTGCTGACTGACTTGTGTGTTGCCATGCCCATTTTTCAAAGTGGTTTGGTGATGACAGTGGTGACCTGTGGTGGTTATCTTTGCTTGGCATAGTCGGCTGATTAATGGCTATTCCAGCATTGCACTTTTGGGCTTCCCAAGACCCATGCATGGCTGCTTTGTGGTTTCACTGGGGACTCACTGACCTACTTACCCTTCCACCCATCCACCATCAACCACATTTTTACACAAAGTAACTGCATTGCTTTCACAGTAATCTGTTTGTTTTGTGGTTGACTCAGTCTTGTAGTTTTTGTTAACATGTCAAATGTTGCATAGTATTGCATAAAATATACAAGTAGTGCGCATGTGCAGTAGTGCTCTCCAACTGACATGGTCATTTGAAAATAAGAACCACGAGGCCCTCTATATTTTGTGTCCAACAACTAATAATTTTCCTTATTGATAAATACTTTCTACTTTCATCTATACAGTGTTGGGAGATGTTCATGATTACTAATGAGTACTGTGAAGTCTCTTAGATGGAAGCCATAAAAATGTCTCATGCATCAATAAATACTTGTATATAAAAACTAAAGTTAAAAGTCCAAAGAGATACTAAAAATAGCTTTGTTTGCATGCTTAACATGCTTTTAGACCTTTGTGCCCAAACTGTTCGACCTGCCTCAGCTTTGACTCTGATTTCTATAGCTATCCCATGCTACTCAAATATTATCATCAGATCCTTGTAGTGTTTTATGTTGCCTGAACAGATCAGGCGTGTTGTGGCGTATCCTGCAATACCAACATTTCCACTTGTCCTTAAACTAACCTCTGTTAGTGGAGCTTTGTCGCTGCTCAACGTAAACACATTACAAACCTTAAGATCTAATGTGTCTTTGCCGTTTAGGAGTGGTATTAATGTTTTGGTACGCATGTGTACTTGGTTTAATTGGAGGAGCAAATACGTTGGTAACTTGTGAATCAATAAATATAAATATATGGTTTTCATGCCTCTACACTTGGCATCACATTCTGTTGTTTTGAAAATGCTGCCTTTAGGGAGTTACTGGAAATTTTCATTTGGATAAGGATGAACTGATTTGGAATTTGGTGGTCAAAGGTAAAAAAAAATCAGATAGGCCATGTTTTTGGGCTAGGCTTTAAAATTCTTATGGAATAATCCACTTGTAAGATTTAGATTAATAATAGGATAAAGTTTTGGCATTTTGTATACAAAAGCTTAAAGGCAGAGGCCAGACAAACATTGATAAAACTGGTGAAGGCGTACAAGATGGTAATTCCAGTGTTTTTATTCTGTAAATATAAACAGGATCTAATATATGTTCTGCTGTTTGTAACATGTGTAGTGAAATGTAGACGTTTTCAGACATGACCCTTCTGTCATATTTAAGAATTTTTTAAGGTTTTTTTTTTTTTTTTTTTTTACCATATGAGTAGTCCACTTAAAAAAAAAAATTCTGTTATCACTTAATTTATGAAAATTTTAGAAGTTTAACATGGGAATTGAAACAGAATTATGTATGTTTGAAGTGTTTTTCTTTCCATCTAAATGTGCTTATAAGAAATTTTAACCTTTTAGAGAATGCATGCTGTTAAAATACACCCCTAAAATCACAGACTTGTTGATGTTCTTCAGTTTAATGAACCCACATAAAATCTCTTTGGCTATAATAACATCTAACAAGGAAAATGATTGAGGTGCAGAACACCAGGAGTCTTATCTCCCCCTCCTTCCCTTGTTTGTGCATGTGATGGGGGAATGCTGTCGTGGGGAGATGAAATATCATGTGATCAACAGCAGAATCCCTCCTCCTCTTTCTTCTCATCCTGCTCTCATCTTTGTCTGCAGATCGAAGCGAACAAGTGTGCGACTGCTTGTACAGAGAATGTCAGAGCACCCACCCTTCCTTAAAATAGGCTGTGCGGAGAGAGGCCTCAAAATAGATCCCCCCCCATTAATTCTGTCTCTGAAATATTTATGAGCCACAGCCACCTTTTAAGCACTACTGCCTATCACTATGGTTTTACAACCATAAACACATCTTCGTGCTCATCATGGAGATTTCCACAACCTGTCTGACATATTATGAATTAATTCCAGTCTTTTCTCTGTACATGGACATACTCTGTTCATAAACCTCCAATGATGGAGTAAAAAAACATTTACAGCCCTGGTGGTTGTTTTTCTTTTCTATGCTTTTTTTTTTCCCTTGCATGCAGGGTCTTTGTTCTACAATATTTTAGCAGCACAGTTGCATTTTTCTTTTTAATTTTTAAAGTTAATAAATTCCGCTTTCTTTTTTTTCTTTTTCTTTCATGTTCAGCTAGAACAATAGTATTCTTAATGCTGCCACTTAACTGGCAGACCCAGTCATTCACATGATAGTGGATTTCCTCAGAGTGGTGGTTACTGTTTCAGCATGATCATTAGTTTTCTTGGCAGCTACCCTTATCTAGGGTGACAGCATCACAACAACACGTTGTGTGTGAACACAGCAGTGTAGCTTAAAGAACTATATTGGTGAAGCATTTGTAATAAGTGTGTATTTTTGTAAGTATTGTGTGTGAGAGTCTGAGTGCTGATGTACATCTGCTCTTAATGAGTGTTTATGTACATTTGGTATTAATTCAGTAGTGTATGTGTGTTTTGTTTCTATGCTATTTGCTGTCTCAGTGAAAAGACGATGCATTTTTAAGTGCATGCATGATTGTTTCATCTGTGTTAATATGTTTAACATGTTTATGCAAGTATATATGTCCTCTATGGGAATGGTGTCTACAGTCTTTGGGCCTTTTCACACCTGGAAATACAAACTAGGTTCATATTTTGTTAAACTGATCTGGTTATTATGTGAATGGAGTCTAAAATAGTTTACGCTCCACGTGGACTTGATACTGATTTGATGGGGATGTGTCTGATATACACATGCATACATACCGGCCTCACTTTCTTTCTTTTCACATGGCATTGCTCTGTCACAATATACCTGAAAGGTGTCTGCATTTTCTTGAGGTTTTAACCCTTCAAGTCCCTTGATATTTAAAAACAGTCTCGGCCTCTCTCTAGCCCAGGGGTGGGCAACTCCAGGCCTCGAGGGCCGGTGTCCCTGCAGGTTTTAGATGTGTCCTTGAACCAACACAGCTGATTTAAATGGCTAAATTAGCTCCTCAACATGTCCTGAAGTTCTCCAGAGGCCTGGTAACAAACTAATCGTGTGATTCAGGTGTATTGACCCAAGGTGAGATCTAAAACCTGCAGGACACCGGCCCTCGAGGCCTGGAATTGCCCACCCCTGCTCTAGCCTCTACCACAGAGTGTTCTAGTTTTCACAGTAGAAACAAACACAACTCGTTCTGGACCGAAGCCACCTCTTTTTGTCAGGTTAAGTTTGACTGTTTGGTCTGGACCCAGGCCCATATGTCCATAAGTTTTAACTACAGTGATTTTGGTTGGTATCAAACAAAATTTAAAAAGTCTAGACCAAACATGGTAGGTGTGAAAGCACCCTTAGATGGTTAATGTGTGCTGAGCTCTTGGAAATCTGTCTTTGTGTCTAGTGTCTTTGTAATATCTTCTTACATCCTAGTGTTTGGAGCATCTTTTGCATGTATGTTTTCCTTTCTGGATGGGTTTGTGTG